ATAGAAGAAAACATAGGCATAAACCATCATGACCTTAAATTAGATAATGGTTTCTTAGCTATTATACCAATAGACAATTGGACTTCATCAAACTTAAAAACTTCTGTAATTTAGAGGACACACCATCAAGAAAGTGACAAGACAACCAACAGAATGGGAACAAAAATAATTGCAAATCATGTATCTGTTAAGATTACATAGAATTTCTTATAACTCAAAAAGAGAAATAACCCAATTTTAAAATGCGCAATAGACTTATACATTTCTTCAAAGAAGATGACAAATGGCCAATAAGCACATGGAACAGTGTCATACAGCATTAATCATTAAAGAAATACAATCAAAAGTACAATTAGATACCACTTCACATCTACTAGAATGGCCTAATTTTAAAAAAGATGGACAATAACAAGTGTCACTAAATGTGTAGAGTTATAGGAATTCTCATACACATGGACTAGTGGACATGTAAATGTGTGGCCACTTTAGAAAACAGTTTGGTGGCACCTCAAAAATGTAAATACAGAGTTACCATATGATCTAACAATTCAACTCTTAGACATATACCTAAGAGAATGGAAACTTATGCTTGTATAAAAATGGTTATGGTAGAATTATTCATAATAGCCAAAAAGTGAAAGCATCCCAAATCTCCATCAACTGATGAGTGGATAAATAAAAAATAAAATCTGTGATATCCATAAAATGGAATATTATTTAGCCTCAAAAAAGAATGAAATTCTGATACATGCTGCAACATGATGAACCTTGGGAGCAGTGTGCTAAGTGAAAGAAGCCAGTCACAAAAGGGCACATCTATATATATAAAAGCCTAAGCAACCGAACGATTGAACAACTGGTCGACCAGTTGCTATGATGTGCACTGATCACCAGGAGACAGATTCTCAACACAGGAGCTGCCCCCTGATGGTCAGTGCACTCCCACAGCTGGAACACCACTCAGTTGACTGACAGGCACCAGATGTGGGCTCATGGCTGATGAGTGGGACTGACTGAGTGTGAGCCCACAGCAGGTGCAGTGGGGCCAGAATGACCAGGGGGCAGCAAGCAGAAGCAGCAGTTGGTCTGCCAATTTCAGCTGATCCCCATAGGCCACACTGAAGGACCCCACCGATGCATGAATCCATGCATTGGGCCTCTAGTATTACATGACTCTATTCATATGAAATTTTCAGAAGAGACAAATCCATATGACAAAAGTTTATTCGTGGTTTCCAGAGGCTAGAGGGAAGGAAAAAATAAGGAATGACTAATAATGGATGTGGGATTTCCTTTAGGGATGATGAAAAATTCTAGAAATAGATAATGGTAATAGTTGCACAACTTTGTGACTGCTAGAAACCTGAGTTGTACTAAAAGGGTGAATTTTATTATATGTAAATTAAATTCAAGATTAACTTTCAGGTATCATCTCATTAGAATGGAATAAATTAAATATTTCACATACCAAGAAAACCTCATTAACTCACTCAGTGGTAAAATGATTCTTTAAAAAATATATATTGTTGAAAGTATTACAGATGTCCCTTTTTATCCCACTAATCTCCTCCACCTCACCCCTGATCCATCCCCCTTTCACCTTCACTACACTATTGTCTGTGTCCATGGGTTATGCATATAATCATATAAGTTCTTTGGTTAATCACTCTCCCCTCCCCACTTTCATTCTCCCGCCCCCCTTTCCCTCTGAAATTCATCAGTCTGTTCTATGCTTCTATGTCTCTGGATCTATTTTGGTCATCAGTTTATTTTGTTCCTTAGAGTCCGCATATGAGTGAGAGCATGTGATACTTTATTTCTTTAAATGAAACAACTCTCCCAAAATGTTAATTGATTTGTTCTAGAATAGCAATTTTATTATTGACAGTCTAAGGTAAGGTGCTATCCCGGATATCAATATCTCTCATTCTTTCTTCATTTTCTAAAACTTCTTTAAAACATACCATGTTCCTTCTAGTTCAGTTCAGTTCTAATATGACTACAAAATATACTCTGACACAGAAGCTACAAGCAAGGGAAACAAAGAGTTTCAACTCAACTGCCAACACAGATTGATTAGTTGAGTTGAGAGAGACCCTCAGGCTGTGTCCAAACTGGGCAGAGAAGGAAATGTAGCAATTAATAAAATTTGTTCCTGAGCTTGGCAATAGCAGTAGAGGTTCGTACCACTTGGGCTAGTCATTTTATCTAGGAAAAAGTATTATTTTGCTGGTAGATGTAAAATCAGTTGGGTAGATAAATCTTTGGATGGATCATAATGCAGCTAGTAGGCACATTCACACAGTATGACCTAAAAATGAATTTGTGACCTCTAATTTACATGCAAAGTCCCAAAATTTGGAAATAGTCAACATTTATGACTGAGATGTCAAAAGCACTCAATAAATAGCATTAACTTTCTTCCTATATAATATCAAGGTATTTTAAAAAACACATTTTATACAGAGTTTGTTCTTAAAGGTTCTTAACATGAAAGCATTAGCATATCCTTATAATAAAATCTGATATAGAGAGAAAGAATGTCAAGAGATTTTTTTTTATGTCATTCACTGAAAACTCAAGATAGTCACCAGAAGATGGACTCTCTAAGCCTGCTATAGCACACATTAACTTGAGCATTGCCTCCCAGTAGAACTGTCTCCTCCTTCCTTTTCTTGCAATAGAAGCCTGCTCTTTCTTTGACAGGTAAGAGGTGTCTAGAAAGAGTTTGGCAGCTCCTCAAAAACTTAAATACAGAGTTACCATATGAGCTAACAATTCCACTCTTAGACATGTACCCATGAGTCCTGTTCCTCTGTCACATGTGGTAAAACAATGGTTCTCAAATTGTGGTCCCAGACCAGCAGTATCTGTGGCACCTTCTCAGAAATGCAGTCTGTTAGAAATGCAGCTTCACCGCAGACCTGCACTCTAGCAGTGTGCCCAGCAATCTGTGTTTGTCCAGTGACTCTGGGCTCTAGCTTGAAAGCCACTGCTGTGAGTTGTTCCCTTCTAAAATGGGAAAAGGCAGAAGGGTAAGAGAACAAGATAAGTTGGGGATATGGGCCTTGTTTGGCAGCAAAGTTGGCATGTGATGTGAACCTCCAAGGACCTCTCCTATACCCCATGTACCAACTCTATATTTACTGAGTAAAGGTTTAAGATGCTCCAAGGATCTCCCCTAATCCTCATTCCTACCACACCCCACCACCAGACTGCTCAGAATCCCTTCTTTGGATGTAATAGGGGAGTAGGAAAGGAAGATGGCACTTCTACGTTTCCTCGTGTTAAAATGAAGCAGTATTATTCAAAAAAGGGTTGGCATCAACACCCTGTAGCTAATAAACCCGTGTGAAGACACAGAACAGTGCTTGGTTCCTAGTGACTGTTCACTGTATATAAGAGGTAATGGTATTGGTGACGATTAGGGCAAGGGCCAAACTTCTCCACAGAGGGTGCCTGGGTTGGCATCTTGAAGTAGTTGCTATTTGCACCCAGTGGATCATTGTTATGTTAAGAAGACTGCCAGCTGGAAGTAGGCCTTGATCTTGAAAGCCTTTAGAGGCAAGTGAGGCTCCCTCAAGACAATGCCCTCACAGTGCCCCAAATGTGAGGATGGTCATTAGCTGTTGGTACTTGCCACAGAGACAAGGATCCTGGCTGGGATCGGCATTTGGGGCAACAAGCATTGTAGGAGGGACTGAAGAACATCAAGCGAAGCAATGAGACATTTCAGGGACTTTGTAATAAGAGTTTAGTGTTGTGAATCCCAAGGGGTGGAGTGGATGGTCATGTGACAGCAGGCAGCAGTGTAGATGCTGACCACCAAATGTGGAACCTCTGAGCAAGCTTGGGAGTCTGCAGGCCAGAAAGGCAGTGGGTCCCTGAAACCCACAGGCAGATCAGATCACGGCTATAGGAAGCTGATGACCAGAGTTGGACTTAGAAGGTTCAAATTAGGGTTCTTGGTTCCAATCCTTTTTTTTTTTTTTTTTTTTTTTTTTTTACCCGCTCCCTCCCATGGAAATGCTGTTCAATATCCTGGTGTAGCCAGGAGAGCACCACTTGTCAATATTAGGAATATAGGGGGAGGAGGGAGGTGAGATGCAGAGTGGTAAGGGAAAGGGAAAGGGGGAGGAACAGGAAGAGGAAAAGGAAAGGATAAGACAGAGAGAAGAGGAGACAGGGAAAAAGGAAAAAGGAGGGAGTGAGGAAGGGGTAGAAGAGATGGAGAAGAAAATGATGATTGCTAGTCCCAGCGTGCCCACTGCTTTCCTTGCCCTGTCCTACATATTTTGCATGTGCTTCTCATTTGGTTATCAGAACTATGGCACTGGGTAATGGAAGAGCCTAGAGACTCTTAAGGAGAGTCTTATTTCTAAAGAAAAATAGGTTACAATGAACTTTTTCTGCTCAGGCTCCCCGACACCTGAGGAAACCAAGTCCATTCAATCTATGAGAATGATGCATGTTAAATGGAGATGAATCATTAGGAACGAGGGGAAGCTATGGAAGAAGAAGGCTGAGTTTAAAATGGTCTTGGGTATTTTCCTTACTCATGCTGTTGTTCTTTCCGATTCTGAAGCCCCTTTGCCTGGTTTCTCAATCTCGTATGCATATGGGGACCAGGAAGATGAATGAAGTGTGTGAAGTGAGCCTGGTGTAGGATGATTACAGGAAAAGGACACTTGGCTTAAATATCAGGAGGTCATAGGGAGTAGCGGGAATTATGACAAAATGGAGCCCATGTGCCACACTCTGAAGAGGCAGCACCACTCAGCCCCAGCCTGTTGCTATCACGTGCCATGTGTCAGTGGGCACAGTGTTGCTGGACCTTCTAATTTTTGCAAGAAGCCAGAGATCTGTTGACCAGGCAGCATTCAGGGGCTAATGAAATGCCCCTGTAGGCTGTGTCTGTCCTCAGGCTGGTCTGCAGTTGTGTATTTTCCTGAGTTGGCAATAGAAGCTTGATCCCTCCCCTATGTTCCTTTCTCTTCCAGGCCATTACATTTACGTGGACACCTCCTTCGCCAAGCAGGGGGATAGAGCCCTGCTGCTAAGTTCTGACTTGCAGGCCGAGGAATGGAGCTGCCTCCGCTTGGTCTACCAGATAGCCGCGTCTTCAGGGTCTCCCTCAGATCCCAGCCAGCTGAACCTCTACCTGAGATTTGAAGATGAAAGTTTTGATCGCTTACTTTGGTCAGCTAATGAACCTTCGGATAGCTGGCTTATAGCCAGCCTGGACTTGCAAAACACTCCCAAGAAATTCAAGGCAGGTGGGATGCAGGAGGAAGGTGCAGGGCTTCTCCGTGGCTTCCTGCTATTCTGAGGTCTTCTGAAACTGCCGCCACTGAACTTAGTTTTCTTCTGTGTTCATATGTGAAGATTTATAGGAGATACATCAGAGTAGAATGGTAGAAATGGAAATTAATGTTTTGTTTATTCCTTAAAGGAGCTTCTTTCTAGATTTCTATTTAAATGGGACTTCACAAATCTAAATGGAGCTTGAACTGAGTTCTTTAATGAAAATTTGTCTTCTAATGGGTTTAAGAGCATATCCTCATTTCTTATTTTATTTCATTCTTCTAAGCTGAGTGTGGTATATGTTGTTTTTTTTTTCCTTCTAATGCTTTGTTTGCTATAAATTTTAAGCAAAGCATTAACCATCATAAAAGGAAAACTGAAAATACTATGAAAGAGGAAAACTACTTAAAGGACACGTTCTGATTCCTTCTTAAAAATGGAAGTTGTTCCATCAGAACAACTTGGAAAAAGGAAATAGGAAGAAAATGTAAGATAAAGTTGGATGTGCATTGAAGTAGGGAAGGAGGATGGGATCTTGATTCACTTGGCCATAAAGTGTTTTATTTGGTGAGAATATGTCATGGAGGATGCAAAGCAAGCTTCATGAAAATGCCCTCCATTTCTAATCCCCTTTTCAATGTCCTATCCCTCCACTTCTTCCAAGAGGTTTGAAATACGATGCTCTCCTCTACTCTCTGTCTGCTGGTGCCTCTCCATTGGGCAGTAGGGGGGTTGAGGGAAGGAGTCTTGACATTCTCAGTTTCCTACATTCTCCAAACAGTATATCAGACCCTAAATCTACCAACATAATTGCAAAATATTGGCCAAAATCACCCAAGGAAAAACAAATGTGAACCCATAACAGAGCTTAAAATCAGCCTCATAAATTATCATGCTTTATCTGTTCTTTGTGTGAAATTTTCAAGTTTTTCAGCAATAGAGAAATGACAAGTTCATTGATTTGAGCTTCCTCCATCTCATGCAGAGACCTCCCATCACTAAGCAGGTTGTGCTTCCTAACTCCTTCTCCAGGATCTTTTCTCCTCTGAAGACTCTCCTCTGTTCCTGGTCATTCTCAGGATGGAGTTCCCCAGAGACTAAGCTCTTCTTTCCATCCACAGCCAGTGGTGTAACCACAAGTACTGGCATGGGCTAACAGTGGGAGACAGCCAACTCTGAGATCTTATTGGACATCTTGCTCCCCTTATAGTTCTGAGTATATTTGTACACACACACACACACACACACACACACACACACACACACACACAGACTTTTAATAAAGTCCATCATGAAATTGGTATCCAATATCAATTAGCAAGACAAGCAATCTCATTTTGCCTTGAATTGCTGAAAGCTTTCGACTAATAGCTGAAATACTGAACCAAGGGAACATGGCATTTTGAAGTCTAACTCCCTTTCCCCCATATGTTGTGCAGATCTTAATAGAAGGTGTGCTGGGCCTGGGAAGCATTGCACTCTTTGAAATCAAGATGACAACTGGCTACTGTATTGGTAAGTGTGTTTCATTTTCATTGTGTCAGAACATGGATCTTTTCTAAAACCCCCTCTTGCCAGAGGGAATTGGATCCATCCTAAAGGCACTGAATTATGCATAGTAGTTAAAATTCTTTGCCAGTTCACTAGAATAGTCTATTTTGTTTCTCTGTCTTTAGCATGGAATGGCTCATTAGCATTTGCATGGACTGGCTGGATTAATGAAAGACAAGTAGTTGCAGCAAATGTAACCTGAGTTGCTGCCTTAACTTCAACATGTTCTAATGAAAATAATTTCCAGTTTGCTGAGAACTCAGCTTTTGTTGCATTTGCCAGAAAAGCAGGCATCATATTACCCCCTTTCCTCACTTTCCTCGGTTGCTCTTCCTGCACCCCATTGCCAGTCTTTATAATCACAATTGTCCCTTTGATTCCACTTAAGCTGGGTTGTTTGGGTGCCTCTTATGTGCCAGTTCCGAGAGGGTGTAAAGAGAAGACATAGTCCATGTCCTGTAGTCGCCCACCTTCTACTCGCCTGCCCCCGAAGCTATTTCTACATTCAATAAGGACTGCCGGAGAAAGGCAAGCTGTGCTGCAGAGGTGCGGGGTGGAGGGGAGGAAATCTGAGAGGACTGAATTCAGTGGAGATGCATTTGAGCTGGGTTTCAAGAAGTGGAACTTAGTCAAGTAAAGGTGCTGGATAGGAAGACTCCAGTAGGAGAAAGCACAGGGCCTGCTCAGGCAAAGGCAGGAAACAAAAGTGGGGCGTTTGAAGCGAGAATCAGGACTGCTAAGGGAGTTTGTTACGGAAGAGTCTGGATCCAGGCTGTGGAGTTGGATTAATGAATTATGTGGTTGGGAGGTGCTGAATCTCAGTCTGCAGGGGAGGAGTCTCCAACTGTGGTTTACAGATGATGACTCTGGCTGCCACATGGAAAATTGAGTAAGAAGCAAGGAAAATGCAGAAGAAGTAGGAAAACCCCTGAAAGTGATTGTGATTTTATAGACTTGGGGGGGGGGGGAGGATGCACAATGAGGGTCTCAAATTAAGGTTGACAATGAAACAGGAAAACAGTGGTAGATTTGAGCAGTTTTTCAGCACTGACAGTACTTGAGGTTGATTGGCTGTGGAGGGAAAGAGAAAGGAAACTCAAAACCCATTTTAAACACAAAAGAGCCCTTGCTAATTCTCTGAATCTTCTCTTTTGACTTTCCAATGATGATGCTAATGCAAGTAAAGAAAACAAACTGAGAATGTGACTGTTATCTGAAGACAGTGCGTTTATACCCAAACTCCCTTCTTGGACCTCCCTGTAGCTCTCATCTGGTGGTCTTAGACAGCCAGCTGGCTCCTCAGACACTCCTGGCAGAGCACCACCTGCTGGCTCAGTCAACGCACTGAGCCCCACAGCCTCTGTGTTATCACCTATAAAATGGGGATAAAATGCTTCTCTCAGGATTACTGTGGGGACTAATGAGATCATGGATATGAAGGTGATTTGTGTTGCTGCTGGACACTCAAAAAAATGTTCATTTATGTTCTTCAAGTCACTTGATGGCTTGGTCTTTGTCTAAAACACAAAAGGAGAGCCGATACTTGGATCTTGTTGAACTTATGCACACACTCTCACCTCTCCTTTCTTTCTGTGCCCTCTCTTTGCTTCTCACAGTTCCTCATCTGGAAAATGATGTTAAGAATAGTGTCTGCCTCATGGGGTTGTTTTGAGAATTCAATAAGTCAACTCATATAAAGTGCTCAGAAGAATGCCAGGAACATTGAGGAATATTTTGCTTTTTATTTTACTCTGCGTCAGTCTTTGGCACTGAATGTTGAGTGTTGGTTAGCAGATGCTGCAGTGGAAATGTGGCTAATGAAAATCTTAAAAAAAAAATTGTGCTTGCGTATGTAAAAACACATTGATAACTATATCAGTCAAGGCCATGGCAGGAAAGTGGAAACAGACAGTATATTCAACCTGAGTAACTTGAGGAAAGTTCAGCAAGGAACTACAGAAGTGTGAGTGGGTAAAGGAAACCAGCAAGGGAGGGTGCGGTAATCCAAGACCAGTAACAATGATGACTCATGAACTGTTACCAGCTTTAGATCTGAAGGGCTAGCAGAACCGGAAACAGTAGCTCTGTGGTGAGACCTGCTTGAGAAGAGCAGAGCCTCCAATAGAGTCTGCAGCCAACCCATGGAAGCCTGGCAGGCAGGGAGGGTGCTGGAGGAGTAAACAGTCCCAACCTCATTCTCCTCCTACCTTCCATTGGTTGAATCCAACAGGAAGCCAGAAGGCAGGGGACCCCAAGGATACAATCCATACAAATCAGCCTCTGGAGGCCAGAATGGAGTGCAAAAAAAAGGTGGGTGGGTGGGGAGGGTGTGGATCTGAAGGGGCCAATAAGAGGTGACAAGCACAATCACACTTCATATTCTTAATCGATGAGTAGTGGGGTCAATGGAAGCACTGACTTGTGAGTTTCTTGTTCTTGCTAAAGGAATCTGTTGACTGGCAACAATGAGAACATGTCAATGCCACTAAGAGGAGGAAGAAGGTCTCTCTATATTGTGTCTCTTCTCTACTCAGTAGCTTCAGAAGGACACAAAACCTCGGCTATGCCTGTCCTGCCTATTTTATCTAACTAGGTTCTTGTTTACAAAAAATAAAGAAAAGGATTTTAGCATTAGGAAAGATGCTCCTTAGTTCTGGGTATTTTGTCTGCCATCATGAGAGAATTAAATAGAAGAGTGGGCTACCAGGTGCAAGAAAAAGTAGATGATAAAATTTCTGGAGCTAAGAGCATAGACCTAAACAATACTTTGAAACAGGATGGCTGATATAAATGCCTGGCTTGTACCAAGCCCTTGCCATGAGCATGGCACTGTACTGGGAGCTGTCCCACTTACAACAGCCCAATAAGGTGGGAACGCTATTCCCCTTTCACATATGAAGAAACGTTGGCTAAGGGGGCAGTGAGTCACTTTGCATGCAAGAAGGTTAGTAAGTGGAAGAACCGCAGTCCAAAGGGGCAATCTCAGTTCATTACAGGATATCTCTCTCTTCTTGACTGGTATTATCCAGGGATTCTGATACAAAATGCCAGTAGACAAAGGGAGTGGGAAACATACTTGGATATCTAAGGGAAAACTTTGCAGTACATCTCCATGAGGTATGTTTTTATTTCTCTTCTGCCAGAATGTGATTTTGAAGAAAATCATCTCTGTGGCTTTGTGAACCGCTGGAACCCCAATGTGAACTGGTTTGTTGGAGGAGGCACTAGTCGGAATTCCCACTCCGTTCTTCCCCAGGATCACACGTTCAAGAATGAACTGGGTGAGCTGGGGACATAGACTCCTTTCCCTATGATAACTTTCTCCCAACTCTTCCTACCCCCTGTATTGACCTAACTGTGGCTCTGTCAACAGAGAAGAGAGGACAGAGGAAGGTGAGTAGAGGTTCAGGAAACCTGGTAGAATTCTAGGGAAGCACAAGCTGTATGATAAAGACAAACTGCAGACATGAGAACCGTAGCTAAGAGGAAGGCCACCCAATTAAAAGCTTTTCTTCACCTATGACCTGGTTTTGCTATTTTCACATTTCCGTATGTATTATGCTTTATGTTCTTATCTATTTGTTGTTCAGTACTTCTTATTTCTAAAGACCAGGTTGGAATAATCATAGGTGACTTTTCACTAAAAATAGATTGAGTAATGGAGCAAGTCCTTAAGAACATTTCTAGTGGCAGTGAGATGAGCTAAGACCTATGATTATCAATAAATCTGAATGTGGTGTGCAGCAGGGCCCCCTAGTGGCCACGTGGACTGGTTCTCTGTAGGGAAAATTCGACCTTGAAGAGAAAGGTTCCACTGAAGGGAGTCAAGGTCAAGGTAGAACAATAGAACAAAAAAAATGCCTGGGAAACTCTTTATTTAGCTATATCTAGGGTCACTTACATAGGCAGTTAAGATTAGAAAAGACAAACTATTTTCACTTCCTTCTTTAATAGTAAGGCAGGTTTAATACTTGGAAATGACAAAAGATTGGGGTTTCCATGTGTATCTGTAAATTGGCCAAAAAGTTCCATAACCCATCTCCACTGTGGCCATTGTAAGAACCACACCACTAGTATAAATTAGTGTTCTGTGTAGAGTGAATAATGTTGTGAAACATTAATCCATGAATCTGCATGAGTATTTAAAATGACAGTTGAATTCAAAACAATAAAATGCCACCACCTCTGGACATCTTTGTTTAAATGAATAAAGCAACTAGCAATCTCTTGGAGTTTCAGAAAGAAACTTTTTAATTTATGGGAGTATGCTAATTTTGATGTTGTTTTCTGCCATATTTAGAATCTAGTACAAAGAATACAGAGAATCTTGAAGGACTGATGTTTTAAAATTACAATAATTTTTGGTGTCCTTATCTCAGAGGTATGAATTTAAGTATGGGGAAGTGCTCAAGAACTTTTTCTAATCACTGAAAAATTAGTTCCAAGGTCAGAGCATTTGGGTATCAATGTCATAATCTAATGATTATTTACTCAATGCATCATTTTTGAGGACAGCTGGCTAGGGAGCTCAAATATTTCTTGGGAGAGGCAACAGACCAGTAGACAAGTGTCAAATCACTTATTTGCCTATGTTATCTGAATGTAATCCATCCTTTGAAGGCTGCATCACCCCTGGTCCTTGCTCACTCTCACTTGTGACCACAGACATTTTGACCATGTTTGTGTCAACAGGGATATAGGAGGAGGACAAGGCTAGGAGCCATGACTCCTGTGCTCCATACCTGTTACCAAAGTGCTGCCTATTCCGGGCATTATTGTTGTTCTGTTACCCTTCACTTCTCAGAGGCTTCATTGATTGGCCTGTTTGCAAATGAGAAATTTGAATTCCATGATCTCAAAGATGTCTTTGAGGTCTAACAGTTTACTGTTCTCTCTTTACCTAATGCTAACCATCAAAATCTCCAAATTCATCATCTGCTGACATCTATCTTAAAATATTTTGGGTCCCTCCTGAATACTTATAAGCACACTTATTTGACATTAGAAAAAAGAAAAAAGGATGTCTAAAGGATGTCTAAGAACTAAGAAAATAGGACCTATCCTTTCTACTATCTAAACCAGAGATTTTAAATAGTTATATCTAGAGATAAACATAATGATGTGGTCATCCCTGAGAACCACTAAGACTTGGTCATCCCTGCTATCGGCACATGTCTCTCCCTCTCCCCATTCCATCTTTCCCTCTCCATTTTCTTATCTTTCATCTTCTTAGCTATCCTAAAACACCTTCCAAAGACAGGCAACGTGCCTGCTATCATTGCTTAGTTCCCCCCGATGTCAGTACTAAGGCCTAAAATATAACTGACCCTGGGCCTGAAGGCAAGAAATCTTTGGAGAACTTTGACCTCCCTTCAGTAATCCACGGGATTATATAGTCAGTCCAATTAGAGCAGTGGTTCTCAACCTTCCTAATGCCACGACTCTTTAATTCAGTTCCTCATATTGTGGTGACCCCCAACCATAAAATTATTTTCATTGCAACTTCATAACTGTAATTTTGCTACTGTTATGAATTGTTATGTAAATATCTGTGTTTTCTGATGGTCTTAGGCGACCCCTGTAAAAGGGTTGTTTGACCCCCAAAAGGGTCAAGACGGACAGGTTGAGAACCACTGAATTAAAGCCTGAACGTCAGAATGAGGCTTCTTCATTCATCACTCATTCATTCACTTATTCAGTCATTCAGTTATTCAACGAACATACACATAATAAGCACTTTTTATGTGTCAGGCATTCTTGCATACTCTGGTAATGAATTCGAGATCATGGAATTCAAATTTCCTCATAAAGATCACAGAAAACAACTTTCCAAAATTCTGTTTCTTATACCAGTGGTTGAGAAGAAGAATCTTCATATGAGGGAGGAAGGGTTATATATATGGTCAAATAAACAGGGAGATAATGAAAAATAATCAGTTTTCTTTATGTTAGGACTTCATAGAGCTTTACTATAGTTCTGTATTAATATATATTATAGCATTTCTCATATTATTCAAATACCGAAATTCCATGTACACATGCAGTGATCCATGACTATCAGAGGTACAAAACAAATGATATGTGGCCAGAAAGGTGTGAAAGGCCACCTTGAATTTGGGGTTCAGGGAAGGTTTTCTAAAGGAAGTGGTTTAAGAACTAGAATTTGCCAGATGAATTGGAGGAGATAAGTGCAACATATGCACAGGTGTGTAGGTGTGAGAGTGGAGAGTGCATTAGATGATCAGAGAGTATTTGAGAATGCTGGGATGAATGATGGTGGCACAGTAGTTCCTAGCTCCAAGATTATGTTCCTGTTAGTGATAAGTAAGACACCTGGATGCCTACATTCCACATACTTCTTCCAGTTCTTTTATACTATTTCACTTCATTTTCTCTTCAGCTTTTGGACTAATGTTTTGCCCAATAGCCTCTCATTCCCACCCAATGCACACACATATGTGTGCGTGCATGCACACACATACACACACATACACACACGCACACTCTCTCATACTCATTCACACTCCTTGCACCTAGCTCCTAGGTAAGACTTTCCCCTATATGTGATGGGGCTAAAAAAGATGAATATTTTTTAAATCTATGAATAGATTTTTAAATATTTTATTTGAAAAACACTCTGCCCCTCTGACTCAAAAGTTTGACCACAATCACTCTTGAAAACAAAAAACTCTCCAGTGCTTTGCTTAAGACAGAGGTTGCCTTCCTTATTACATTTATCTTCTACTGGGTTTATTGATTTTCCCTGATCTCTATCTATTTGGGTGGCAAAGTAAAGATTAAATGGCTCAGATCTGCCCGCGGCAGCAGATTTTGCTGTAGATAAATTCATCTCCTGTTCATTTGTACACTGGAAGCAGTTTTTACTTTTGCTTTCAGGTAAAAACTGGAGAGGCTAACTGCAAGGGGCCAGGGAAACTGCGTTGGCAGGTTCAGAAACTTTAGCGCTTCGGAGGGGTTGAAAGACATGTTACCAAGCAGATTCTGACCTTTATGTTGCAGAAAGGGAACAATGAATGCAATACCTGAAAAATATGATGTGGATGTGAATTTTCCTTTATTCAAGCTTTGTGTTTATAACAGCGAGTCAAATTTTTCAAATGAGCACTGTGTCTCCAAATTCTTTTCTAATGATGAAAATGGCTGAAGTGCGCAGTACGGATTGTGGTGGGCCATCTTCAGAATACTGGAGGCGATAGAATATTGTCAGCTTTTTCTTACTCAGTTCTGATTCATTGCATATGGATTTTTTTCTTTTTGAATATTTTATGAAGTGAAATAAAATCTTTCAGGAGGGAACCTACTGACAGCTCAGATCATTACTGTTTCCCACCTGCCTTAGCAAAAAGAAGATAATTGCTGGGAAAATAATGAGGGAAATCCATTTCTTTGCTGAGATTTGTTTAAATCCAATCTGCTCTAGGGTGCTACTCTTGAAGGAACTGACTGAGGTTTTAAAACCTAAAACAAGGTCAGAATTATTGTGTTCCATCGAAGACCCTGAGATGGATGGATCATCCTTCCATAACTCACGACATTACTTTCTCATTTCAGTTCAGATTGAACTCAAGCATCATCTTAACAGCACATATTCATTTGCCCTCTGCATTGATCTGTCTGGTTCATTGCTAAGCACTCAGGAAGGAGGCAGCCTTGTTAATTTTCTTCCCTTTGCCTTTGTGCAAGCTCTGCTGGATCTCCTTTCCCTGTCCTTAGGTGACTTCCCATTTCCGCTATTAGCAGCTTCCTCTTAAATAATTAAGTTTGGTGAAGTCAAAATTCAAAAATCTCACCCAAGTGAAATCTTCCCGCAACCAGAGCAACATCAATCAGTAGAGAGAACATTTGTGCTTTATTTCTTCCTACTTCTCCCCTTTGCCCTTTCCCCATTGGACCTGCTGCTCCTGGCTTCTCCAGGCCTGGGGGAGGCATGCTGAGGGTGGGACAGAAAGGGTAGGGAAGCAGACTAAAAGTTTTATGTGACCAGAGCTGTTTAATCTGAAATTGATGCCCTTTATCCTACAGGAAGCCAAATGCTGGCCATTTCTCTCATGGCCAACAGAGAATCCTGCTCCACTATTCCCAGAAAGGGGCGATGCACTCTCTAGGAATCCCCTTTAGCATCTATAAGGAATGGTAAACCCAGCCAGCCCTTTCTGCTAGAGTTACCACCACACATGCAATCCTTTTGAGAAGAGTCCTTTAGGGCTCTCTAGCCCAGCTACCATCTGAGTTGCCCATGGAAGCTAAGGGAAAACTTAAA